GTATGGTTTTTTGGTTTCTATTTCATTGATTTCAGCTCTTATTTTTATTATTTTCTCTTCTATTTGTTTTGGGATTTGCTTGTTCTTGTTTTTCTAGGAGTTTGAGATGTATCATTAGGTCATTGATTTGATCTTTCAGTCTTTTTAAATATGCACTCATGGCTATAAACTTTCCTCTCAGGACTGCCTTAGCTGTGTCCCATAGGTTCTGGTAGGTTGTGTTTTCATTTTTCATTGACTTCCAGGAACTTTTTAATTTCCTCTTTTATTTCATCAATGATCCATTCTTCATTAAGTAATGAGTTATTTAGTTTCCAGCTGTTTGCATGTTTTTTGTCTTTACTTTTTTGTTGAGTTCTGCTTTTACTGCATTGTGATCAGATGTATGCATGGTATAATTTCTATTTTCTTATATTTGCTGAGACTTGCTTTGTGCCCTAGGATATGATCTATTTTGGAGAAGGTTCCATGGGCTGCTGAGAAGAATGTATATTGTGTAGAAGTGGATGAAATGTTCTGTAGACATCACTAGGTCCATTTGATCTATTGCATATTTTTAGATCTTGGATTTCTTTATTGATTTTTTTGTTCTAGATGACCTATCTATTGATGATAATGGGGTGTTAAAGTCTCCCACACCACTGTGTTGGCGTTTATATATGCTTTTAGGTCTTTCAGGGTATGTTTGATGAAATTGGGTGCATTGACATTAGGTGCATACAGGTTGATGATTATTATTTCTTTTGGTCCTATTTCCCCTTTTATAGTATGGAATGTCCTTCTTTTATCTCATTTGATCAATGTAGGTTTGAAGTCTACTTTGGTCAGAGATAATATTGCTACTTCCTGGCCTGTTTTCCGGGGGCCAATTGGCTTTGGAAAAATCTACCCGTGACATTAATATGGAAACACAAGAGGCCAAAATAGCCAAGGGTAATACTCAGTCAAAAGACAATGCTGGAGGTATCACAATACCTGACTTCAAACTATATTACAAAGCAATAACAATAAAAACAGCATGGTACTGGCACAACAGACATGAAGACCAGTGGAACAGAATAGAGGACCCAGATATGAAGCCACACAACTATAAGCAACTTATCTTTGACAAAGGAGCTAAAAATATACGATGGAGAAATAGCAGCCTCTTCAACAAAAACTGCTGGGAAAACTGGTTAGCAGTCTGCAAAAAACTGAAACTAGATCCATGTATATCACCCTATACCAAGATTAACTCAAAATGGATCAAGGATCTTAATATCAGACCCCAAACTCTAAAGTTGATACAGAAAGAGTAGGAAATACTCTGGATTAGTAGGTATAGGTAAGAACTTTCTCAATGAAACCCCAGCAGCAGAGCAACTAAAGAGAAGCATAGATAAATGGGACCTCATAAACTAAAAAGCTTCTGTTCATCAAAAGAAATGGTCTCTAAACTGAAGAGAAACACCCACAGAGTGGAGAAAAATATTTGCCAGCTATACATCAGACAAAGGACTGATAACCAGAATATATAGGGAACTTAAAAAACTAAATTCTCCCAAAACTAATGAACCAATAAAGAAATGGGCAAGTGAACTAAACAGAACTTTCTCAAAAGAAGAAATTCAAATGGCCAAAAAACACATGAAAAAATGCTCACCATCTCTAGCATAAAGAAATGCAAATTAAAACCACACTAAGATTCCACCTCACCCTGTTAGAATAGCCATCTTAGCAACACCACAACAACAGGTGTTGGTGAGGATGCGGGGAAAAAGGAACCCTCTTACACTGTTGGTGGGAATGTAAACTAGTACAACCACTCTGGAAAAAAATTTGGAGGCTACTTAAAAATCTAGACATTGATCTACCATTTGATCCAGCAATACCACTCTTGGGGATATACCCAAAAGACTGTGACACAGGTTACTCCAGAGGCACCTGCACACCCATGTTTATTGCGGCACTATTCACAATAGCCAAGTTATGGAAACAGCCAAGATGCCCCACCACTGATGAATGGATTAAGAAAATGTGGTATCTATACACAATGGAATTTTATGCAGCCATGAAGAAGAACGAAATGTTATCATTCGCTGGTAAATGGATGGAATTGGAGAACATCATTCTGAGTGAGGTTAGCCTGGCCCAAAAGACCAAAAATCGTATGTTCTCCCTCATATGTGGACATTAGATCAAGGGCAAACACAACAATGGGATTGGACTTTGAGCACATGATAAAAGCGAGAGCACACAAGGGAGGGGTGAGGATAGGTAAGACACCTAAAAAATTAGCTAGCATTTGTTGCCCTTAATGCAGAGAAACTAAAGCAGATACCTTAAAAGCAACAGAGGCCAATAGGAAAAGAGGACCAGGAACTAGAGAAAAGGTCAGATCAAAAAGAATTAACCTAGAAGTTAACACACATGCACAGGAAATCAATGTGAGTCAACTCCCTGTATAGCTATCCTTATCTCAACCAGCAAAAACCCTTGTTCCTTCCTATTATTGTTTATACTCTCTCTACAACAAAATTAGAAATAAGGGCAAAATAGTTTCTGCTGGGTATTGAGGGGGTGGGGGGAGGGGGAGGGAGCAGAGTGGGTGGTAAGGGAGGGGGTGGGGGCAGGGGGGAAAAATAACCCAAGCCTTGTATGCACATATAATAAAAAAAAAAGATCTGAGAAGAGAAAGCAGTTTATTCTGCATGGGATCAAAGATGCAATGTAATCTATGTGATAGAAGCTGAAAAATGAGAGCATTCTAAGCTGAATGCAGGGTAAGGAAGCTTAAAAGCACACAGAGTTTTTGGGGAAATGGGGATCAGCTTTGTGTTAATGGAGCACTGGGGCTTGTGGAAATGGTGAAATGTAAGGGGGATAAAAATGAAGCTGGATTGGGAAGGACATTGTGTATCATGTTAACTAAATTTGACTTCAGGGAAAATAGAAAGCCTTAGAAGCATTATAAAATATTGTTGCCTCTAAATAACAGTATCTTTTTCTGAGTCATACCATGAACTCAGGATTATAGTTCTATCATCTGCATAACCACCATTTGGAGCAGGTACTATTCTTACCTGTATTTAAGCAGAAGCTTGGTGTACAGTAGCTTTATCCCCAAATCACATCTTGGTCTGACAGCATCTATCTGGTCTTCTGGACTGAGCCTACTGGTGGCAAAACCCCTCCCACACATTTTTTTTTTCTTTTCTTTTTTGGCAGTACTGGTGTGTGAATTCAGGGCCTCGTGCTTTCTAGGCAGGCGCTTTACCACTTGAGCCACTCCACAAGCCCTGGTTTTGTGTGTGTGTGTTGGGTAGTTTCAAGATAGGGTCTCCCCAGTTATTTGCCCCAGGGCTGGTTTTGAACTGTGATGTTCCTCATCTCTGCCTTCTGAGTAGCTAGGATTACAGGCCTGAGCCACCAGTGCCCAAGCTCCTCCCACACATTCTTGCTGAATTGCTTCTTACCAACTCTCCCTTGTTCTTCATACCAAAGACAAGAAAAGCAATCCTTGAACACATAATTTGAGTTAGAGAGTGTAAGAGCTTCAGCAATGATTTTCTTTTGTGCCTCAGGTTCATTCTCACTTTTTTCTCATTTTAAAATTTCCAACAAACACAAAAGTATTTAATAGCAAAATGAATTTGGCTTTAATACTTAATGCCCTGTATCACTCTTGTTTTGAGGATTTTCCTGCCACTTCCCACATTTTACTTCTGGAGTGCTTTAATAAAACCAAATTCTAAACATCGCATTACATCACCACATATTTTACTATCTAAAAACAACTTTAAAATATAGTTATAACATCTTTATTGCACTCAGCAGATTAACAAAAATTAATATTTCAATCTGCTTTACATTTTTAACAATCACATATCCTATTCAAAAAAGCTAAACTTTTTGAAAAGAATGATAGATTTCCTATTTATGCATCCCTTCTTTTTGTAAGTACAGAAAGATATTTTCAATTGTGCTAATGCACACACATTAACAGGGAATCTTAGTAATATTCATTACAGACACTTTCCTAATTCACAATGATTTATAAACTCTTGAGTGTTATGTTATATTTTTTATGAGCTGGGCCCACAAGGTTTTATCTACATTAATACCTAATTCAGGCAAGATCTTCTTGGTGTACAAAATTAATCTTTCCTGTAGCACTGAGTGAAGATTGGTGAGCTACTGAGTTGTACAGCTTGCTTTATTCCAAGCCCAAGACAAAATCCACTTTTCGAGGATACATTAACCACTCTACTGGGTTTCACAATTAGCTCACCTGGTAAATGCTTATGAAGCACATGTTGAAAAAGCTCATCCACCAACCGCGGTCAGTTTTACACTGAGGGTGAGGTGCACTCAAGATGCAGATTTATCTAATGTCTATCTGTCAAGAGATTTGGAAATCACTTGAGGCTATTCTCATTTTACATCTGACAAAACTGTAGCTGAGAGAAACGTGAAAGCCACGGTATTGCAACTGGTGATATTGAGGGACTCACTTTATCTGAGCACCTACGTTTTCAGTTTCTATGAGATTGAAAATATTTTTGTAAAAGTGCAGGTGCACAGTTTAGTTTCATTATCCACAATTAGGTTCACTGATGCTTCAGTGAACACACCCAGGGAGCACTTAAATTTTCTTGCAGCGAGAAGCTCAGCGTTCTCCCTCTGTTTTTCATTTAACCCTCAATTCACACTGCAGCCCACTGCCATTGTTATTACCATCATGGAGGAGAGCATGGTTTTTTAAAGTTGCTGGCCATGTTTCTCTTTGGAGAACTCCCACGCGCCAATCCTCCTTTTCAGGGACCTGAATGCCAGCGGTACAGGCTCTCACTTAGACAACCTTAGGTCATCTGTTTATTTTCAGCATCCCGGTCAGGAAGAAAGGGCGGCCGTTGCCATGGTGACTGACACCCGAGGCAACCGCGAGGCGACAAGGGGGCGTGGCCTCGGCGGGCAAAAGCGGATAAGAGGCGGTGCCGGCCGCCGGCGTCGCGAGCTAGGCGCGGGAGCGCGGCCGCTGAGGCGGAGGCGGGGCAGCTCGCCATCTCTTCCGACCACCTGCCTCCAAAAGTCCTGTCACCCAGGCAGACAAGCCAGGCCGTGCTGCGGCCTCGCCGCGCCTCTATCCCCACCCTCTCGCGAGGAATCCAGCTTGGCGTCTAACATGGCGGGTGGGCCTTGCTGCGGCCCGCTGCTGACGGCACTCCTGGCCGCCTGGCTCATGGCGGCGGCGGCGACCGAGGGCCAGGAACAGGCCGCGCTGCCGGCGGAGCAGAGCCGGGTGCAGCCCATGACCGCCTCCAACTGGACGCTGGTGATGGAGGGCGAGTGGATGCTGAAATTGTGAGTGTGCCCGCCCCGCACGCCACAGCGCCCGCGAAAGCGCCACCTCCCGAGCCCAAGCGGGCCACTTTCGGCCCTGTTCGCCTCGCTTGGGCTAGAAAAGGCCCCGGAGCCGACCTGAGGCGCCGAGCTGGATCCTCGGACTGCGCGTGCGCGGACGCTTTTTTTTTTTCTTTTCTCCTCCCCCTCCCCCCTTCAATCCCCCCCACCCCCACCCGCCAGCGGTAACAACAGTGGGAAGGAAGCAACTTTCGCTTAGCTCACCCCTGGCTATAGAGGAAAGTGTTTTAAGGATGGAGTCGGGATATTACGAAGGGAAGGAGGAGGGAGGAAAAATCGTCAAGAAGTCCATGTGCTCCTAGACTTAGGCAAGTACAGGAGAAAGCAGTCATTCCGTTACATGTACACTATGAATAGGAAGCTTATTAGGAGGTAAGGCAGGGTTAGTGTTGAAGAATCATTGCAGAACAGCAAAGCGGGACGAGTTTCTACAAAATAGCTTTCTTCCTATGAAGAAAGACTTTGGGATGGCATTGTGAAAATAAAGCATAAGCATGGAGCCTACGTTTTAAAACAAGTTTGCAAATAAATGCTGATAGTTATCATTTTTAGTTAGGGCTTTGAGGGCGATAGTATAATGACGTAAAGAAAAGGTCGTTAACAAATCGCCCCTTTTGAACAATAGAAGTTAGGTAAGTGGTGGAGAGTGCCTTTGCTTGAAGATGGGAAACTTTTGAGATGAGAGGTAGGGATTTGTTGCTTATAGCTTATAATTTACTTAATTGTAATGAAGCAGTCATTCGAAAGAAGTCTTCAAGTTGACTGGGGACGGTTGTCTGAATAGGCTTGAGAGCCCATATCCTGGACTTGTAGGGAAAATGATAGTGTCTGGAGAAATCAATGAGATTGTATCTCTGAAACCTGTGGTTTCAGGCAATAGAGATAAATTATCACTACTATTTGATAATTAGTTTTACATAAAGGAAATAGATCAAATTTTGAGTCTTTCAATTTAGATTCCATGCCTGTGGCATGAAAACCTCAGTGTGAGATCAGGACCAAAAAAAAGAAAAAAGTTATGTCACCAAATTTCATTGCTCAAAGAGCAGAATGCACTTTATTCCTGAAATACGGACATACTTTGTTTTAAAAAGAAGGGGATATTTAGACCTCAAAATAAAATGCTCTGTCATAATAAATAGTGAAGCTATTAAAGAAAGCTACAGACATGAACAACTCATTAAAATAAGCAACTTAGCTACTTTGGATGGACGTGAGGAGGTTATATTTCACATAAGAAAGAAACTTTTAAAGTAAGTGGATCTTTATGTTATGACTGCTGTGTTTGTAATAATTGTAAGAACTTTAGAGAAACTACATTTTGTTAGCTAATACTACAAGAAGTTCTTTTTTTCAGTAGGTCCTTACATAGCAGTTTTTCTAGAGGTCAGTTTTTTTAGAAAGAACTGAGTTCATGCATGTATGTGATGATAGTCAAAGCAGAAGGGCCTTTTTATATTTAATGACATTAATCCTTTATAGTTCCTTCTGGAATTTTTTTTAAGTAAAAGAACTATAAACACTAAAGCTGTGATAAATATAAGCCCTAGTAAACTTCTAAATTAGTGACTGCCAACAATCCTTATGTTTGGCTGTGTCAGTGGTTAAATTTTACCTTTTTATAAGTGTTCTACCCTAGATGATTATAGTTAAGTGCTATGAATTTGCTCTGTGTCTAGTTTTACAACCTATACTTGGGCTGTGATGCACGAAGAGTCATAACCTGGAAGTAGGCTGTGTGAACACTTGAGATCATTTTAGTTGTTCTTCTTCTAGTACCCTTCTGAATACATGAGTAGGAAATAAGACTGGAAAAGAAAGGACTTAAGCCATTATATCCAACTTCCTTCTGGATACCAGAATTTAACTCAGAAGTGCTCCATATGAAGAAATATTACCATTATTTTTAATCTATTTCTGTATTATTAGATCATATTCCCTCTTGTCCCTTTAAAAAATACAAGTCATTATATTCTTAGTACCACAGTAGGCCTATTATAAATTTCTAAGAATTTATTCAGACACCAGATTTTTTTTTCCTGATGTATGTACCAGAGAAACCAAAAATGTGTTTATATTACCTCCCATGTCAATACTTTGTTCGGATGAACTGTTCTTACAATTGAGATTATTAGGAGTTTGTAGATGATGTATTTCACTTCTCTAAAGATATAAGGTAGGACACTTCTGATAGCATTAAAAAATCAGCATCAGTTTGAATAACAGTCCTTTATTTGATCATCTGCTTATGTACTTGCTGACTTTCTTCTGGGAGTCTGTTCTTTTATATATCATGTCATACAAAGCCATGTAGTGCAATTCATGGCTATATTGGAATTGATAATTTATTATTAAGGGCCTAGCAGTGTTTGGCTGCTCTGAGGCATGTAAAGCTCCTGTTACATAATTTAATTTGTTATATATTCTTTGTCTTTCAAGTACTGAATTTTTGAGGTCCTGGCAAGTGAATTTCCAGTTTACCATTTCGGGTTATAATACATATATATATGGAAATATCACAATGGAACTCCCTGTATTGACAACTTAAGCAAAACTGCCTTTTTTTTTTTAAATGGAGAACAGGAAGCTAAAACAGATCCTATCTGGGGGTTGGTACCAGTGGGAGGGAGATGATATAAGGAAAGGGAGTGGGGGGGGGGGGCGAATGTAGTAGAAATATTATGTACTAAAGTATGAAAATGGAAAAATGAGATCTGTTGAAACTATTCCAGGAATGGGGGGAGGATAAAGAATGATGGAAGGGGTGAATTCAACTATGATACAGTGTAAGAACTTTTGTGTCACAATGTACCCCCAGGACAGCAATAATATGATAATAAGAAAATAAATAAATAAATAAATTGCCTTAGGAAAAAAAGCATTTTGTTTAGGTCAGCCCAGGCAAAAAAGTTAGTAAGACCCCATCTCAACCAGGCATAAGTAGGCATAGGTAGGAGGATCGAGGTCCTAATTCTGTCCAGGCAAAAACAGAAAGGGCTAGGGATATGGCTTAAGTGATACAGTGCCTGCCTAGCGAGCAAGAATCCTTGAGTTCAAACCCCAGTAGTGCAAAAAAAAAAAAAAAAAAAAAAGTTTGTGTTAAAGAGAAATATCAGTTAAAATACATTTTAGTAGTTTACTATTTCTATTCTGAAACCTTTTACAAATCTGGAATATTACATTGCTGCTTAGATTTTCTTAAATACTAAGGGTTTATGCTCAGTTTTTCTCTTGTATACTTTCATATATTGTTTTATAGTGTTTACCTCTATCACTCACTGTAGTTGTCTCTGTAATTGTCTTTCTGTGCTTTTAAAAAATATCTGGGCTTGGTAAATGGATGGAACTGGAGAACATCATCCTGAGCGAGGTTAGCCAGGTCCAGAAGACCAAAAATCGTATGTTCTCCCTCATATGCAGACTTTAGGTCAAGGGCAAACACAACAAGGGGATTGGACTTTGATCACATGATGAAGCGGGAGCACACAAGGAAGGTGTGAGGGTAGGCAAAAAAACAAGATAGTATTTGATGTCCTTAATGCAAAGGAACTAATGCAGAAACTTTAAAGTGACAGAGGCCAATAGGAGAAGGGGACCAGGAACTAGAGAAAAGGTTAGTTCGAGAAGAATTAAGTTAGAATGTAACACAGATGTACAGGAAAGCAATGCGAGTAAACTCCCTGTATAGCTATCCTTATCTCAACTAGCAAAAATGCTTGGTCCTTCCTATTATTGCTTATACTCTGTCTTCAACAAAATTAAAGAAAGGGCAAAAATAGTTCTGCCTGGTAGCGAGGGGGTGGGGGCAAGAGGGAGGGTGCGGGGGAACGCGGGAGAAATGACCCAAACATTGTATGCACATATGAATAAAAGAAATAAAAAAAATTAAAGTATAGCACATAAAAATATATATATCTGCTAATGCTTCCTTTTCTCTTTCCATTGTTTTATACTGTCCTTCATTCGTTGCTTTGCAACCTTTAGCTACTTTAAATACTTGCTTGGTTCCTAGTATATCAGTCCTTTAGAAAGTGACTTTTGTTCTTTTGAAACACAAGAGTATGCAGTGTACTTTATTCTGTGTGCTGTGCTGGTGACATTTTTTACTCCAAAAGAAATAAGTAGATACCCAAGTAGCTTATTTTGAACAGCTTACCTTTAAACTCATATCTAGAGAAAAAAAGTATAGCAGACGGGTTTTTATAAAGCATCACTTTTTCTGACTTTGAGACTACACAAAGTAGTAGTAAAAAAAGCCCCTATTCATTTATTTATGCATTCGTTTGTTTATTTTTGGTAGTACTGGGGTTTTGAACTTAGGGCCTTGCTCTTATTGGACAGGAGCTCTTGACACTTGCCTTACCCCTAACCCTTTTTTCTTTAGTTATGTTTTAGATAGTGTCTTGTACATTTTGCCTGAGGCCAGCCTCAGACTGTGATCATCCTGCCTATGCCTCCTGCAAACCTGTAATTATAAGTGTGTACCACGTACCAGCTTGTTCTTTGAGGTGAGGTTTCTCTAACTTTTTGCCTTGGGTGGTTTAGAACCACTATCTTCCTGTCTCCACCTCTCACATATGTGGGATTACAGGAACCACTGTGATAATAGCCTCACAAAGCCTTATTTATTTCCACAGGACCTCTGCATTTTGGTATTATTTTCCCAATATCTGGCTTATGACTGATGTGGAACATCATTGCCTTAACTCCCCCATGTCAGATAGTCATGATTTCCTGCTATTTTGCTTTACTGATTGGATGTTTAAGCGATAGTAAATGCTTGTTATGTGTCAGGTTCAGGGTTGGAGATTTGGGAAAATGAAAATAAATGAGCTACAACCTTGATTTCAAGGAATTGGCAGCCTTACCAATTGCTTCCTCTCTGTTAAACATTCATCAGTAGTTCTCTGTAAGGCACTCTTGGCATGTTGGGTTGGACAGTTCTTTGGTGTTTGGGGATAGCTCACATGTTGCAGAACTTTGTTATCCCTGTTCCCTGCTCATGACAGTCTAATAGTGTTCTCAGTCATCAAAATAATCACAACTCCCATCTCCTGTGCACACTTCCAGAGCCTCTTAAGTATAAAAACCACTGCCTTCGGTATTGCTATGAGTACTTAAAAGCATACAAAAGGGGAGCTCATATGCTAACTTAGTATTTGGTTTCAGATGATTTCCACAAAGGGTAAAGCCTTATTAACACTTACCATCCTCATCATCACCTCCATCTTTTGCTTCCTCTCTTACAATCATCGTAAACAACTACATTGCTTGCATCACATACTCCAAATGATGTCTTATTTGATCATCCCAGTAATCTTGTCCAGTATTATTATTCTCATTGCTAATAACTTGACAAGATGAAAACTTGAGAAGTTTAAAACCTTGGCCAAGCCCGATCTTTAGTAAATGGTGGGCAAGATCAGAATTAGAATATAGGCCTTAATAGTGCAAGCATTATAGGGTAGTCTGGTTAACCTAGGGGACTGGACAGAGCCCGGTTGACTCTTGCTTAGGTTTCTTCTGGCTAGCACCCTGACCACCTGTTTACCATCTCTCTAATTGCTGCAGAGAAAGAGCATTATTGCCATATGCTCATCCCTGATACTCCTCACCACTTAAATGGGTTAACTGCCTTCTCTACATTCCCAGTCCCTCAGGAAATTCCCTTCTTACCATGCCTTTTTGTATCTAGCTTCATTCTTACCACAACTAGTAAGTATATATTTATTTATATGTCTTTGTACTAGGTTTTTGTTTTAGTCCTCCATTAGACTGTAAACTTTTAAATAAAGAACAAAATTTTTCTTCCTTCCTATTTAGCTCCAGAGCCTTTGTAACTATCAAGTATTAGGTGTTCAGTAAATGCTTTTGGGATAGTTAATGAATAGTTAATACACCTTAACTTTTTCTTTTATCAAGAGCTTCTTAAAGTATATCACTCACTGAAGGAAAGCATATGCTATTTTCCTTAAGTATAAAGCATATGCTATTTTTCTTAAGTATAAAGCATATGCTATTTTTCTTAAGTATTACAGATTATTACTGCCATGTCCTGTTTGTTTATTGATGTAATAAATATTTCTTATGGCATAGGAGCTGCCAGGCTCTGGTCTAGGTACAAGTAATGTGACAGTCACTGTCTTCTTGGAATGTTTGTTTTAGGGAAAGTAGTGAACACTATTCTCTAGCAGATGTTAGGATTTTCATACAGCCGACAATTTTTACTTTTCCTCTATTTTGTGGTAATATTTTAGAAATGACTTTTGAAAGGAATAAATTTGAGCATAGACTTTCAATTCTTGGATCATGTAAAAGTATTTCCAGATTTTTCAGAACGAAGAATACTGCTTAAGGTAGCTAAATTATCATTTATTAACATTTTAATTTAATTTCATGTATTGAGTCATAGAAAAATGAACTCAGTATACTTTTTTCCTCTTCGTTGTCACAGATTCTTCTGAGTATTTTGATAAAAGTAAATTCTAAGTGAAATTTGCTTTTATCTGTCATTGTCATCTAGTTTCTGCAAAGATAAGAAAAAGTAAAAAAAGAGAATGTACTGAGAAACACTGGTGAGATTAGCGCCCAAACAGAAGAAAGACTATCAATTACTGGTGAATAAAAGTGATTTTCAATATTTTTTTTCTAGAAAATATATTTCAACTAAATCTTTCCTCTGAAAAATTTAGTACGTCTAATAAAATTTCACATTAAATTCAGTGAATTCACGCAGTGGAAGAATCAAGATCCTTAATCCAGGAGCACTTCAGTGCACTTCACACACGAGTAACAATACGGACAACAGAAGCATGGTATTGAATTTGGTTCTCCAGAAATAGTTGAAAACACAGGATTCATATCCAAGGTGGTATAATTTAGCAGAACATTCTGATTATCTGAAATGCATTTCAAATGTCTTTATGAAGCTTTCTAATTTTAAGGAATAAAGTAAACCCCTACTAGCCATCATCAAGGTACAATAGTTACTAATATATTTCTAGTATTATTTTATCTATACTTCCTGCTCTCTACCCCTTGGTGTTACAATTTATGTACTGTAACATTCACTCATTGTAGAACAATTTAGTGGTACTGAATCTTTTTTTAGTGTGTATTTCATTTATTGCCTCAATATTTTGACTTTAAACTTTTTAAATAAAAGTTTAATTTAAGCAGATTTTTAAAAATATGGCTAGCTGTTGGTGGCATCCTGAAATATTATTCAAACTGATAATCTTTCCTGGAGTAATTTTGCAAGAATGATTATTTTACTTACTGCTTTTATCTTCTGGATACTGTTAAGCAAAACCAAATGTTTTTCCACTTATGTCAATATATTTTTGTGACATTACTCTGAAAATGTTAATTTTCCTTTTAATTGTGTTGCATTGTTATTTTGAAATGGATTTCCAGCATATGGCATTGTTTACTCACAGTATTTTATATTAAACAAAGCTGTACCAGCTCTTTAAGTCTCTGCAAGATTTATTTAATCCAATTCCTTCTAATTTCAAGTTGTATCTTCCTTTCTATAGCTTCTATGGGCTGCTGTAATAAATTACAGGGCTTCCATGGGCTTTAAATATCAGAAATTTATTCTCTGACAGCACTAGAGATCTAAATTCCAAGGTCAAGGTATAGCAGACTTGCCCTCTGGAGTCTCTGTGGCAGTGTCTGTTTTGTGCATCTGCTGGTTTCTAATAGCTGCTGACATCTCTTTGTGTTCCTTGACTTGTAGCTACAAAGCCCCATCTTCATGTAGCCTTCCCCCTACTTCTCTGTGTCATAGCTCCCTCTTCTTCCTCTTGAAAAAACTCTTACTGGATTGAGACCTATCTTAAATCAGGATGATCTCTTCCTGAGATAAGTATAAAGATCTCTACTCCAAATTATGCCACATTTACTGGTACCTTAATATTATTCAATCTGCTACCTTCCCAAGCAGCACATTTCTCTGAATTCTCATTTTCACCTGCAGATTAAACCCCAAGAAAAGTTCAGAGCTTTATAATCTGGGCTTTTAATGATTTCTAGGATGTAGGAGGGCAAGTAAAGCTACTGACATAGTGCCAAGATGACTGTCTATCCTTCCAGTTTTTGTCTTGATTCCATCTTGCTTTTCCCAGATTCATTACAACTTTTAGGCTTTTTCCAAAATGTAAATCTGGTCAGAATTATCTTACCACTTTAGGGCTTACCACAGAGCTTTGAATAAAGTCTTAATTTTTTATATAACTTTCAAAGGCTGTGGATGATGTCTTCATCCTCCCTTCTCTGTAGTCTGAATTGTCACATATACTGTTGTCTTTGCTTAGATTTGAACATTCCTTGACTATTCCCTGGCTGTTACTTCTACTTCGGATCTCAGCACAGCTCTTTCTTTCTCCATGAGCCCTTCTGAGGTGTATGTTTCTAGCATAGTGCTTAATGTTTATTGAATGAAAAAGAAATGTAAAAACTAGAGTTGTGGCTTGAAGGCCCAAGTATCTTTAACTCTTCTATTTTTAAAAGTCTTTGTAGAGCTGATTTATCCCGTAGCTTCTCCTTTTCTTCATGGAATAGTTCAGAACTGCCACAGATACTCAGATTTTAGAAATATGCTTGAGAAACCTCTAGCAACAGATCTTCTGGTCTCTGCCTGTCAGATCTATCTATAGCTTTATTGGGTCCAAAATTTGTTTGGCTAGTTAGTATAGGAGCATCCTTGTAAAAATTGCCTTCCTTTAGTAGGGCATCAAAAGTGTATTTACCCCTAGAGATCAAAAGCTATCTGGAAATTAACAATTTAATTCAGTTGTAAGAATAACATTGAAAAATTATTTCATATATTATAATAATTGCAGAAAATATTCTCAAATTTTGGCTAAGTTTTTCCTGTAGAATAAACATTCATGTATTAAACCCGAAAGGAAGAAATATTCTTCTATTTTGCTTTCTAAATTGACTTTGAAAAAGCTTGATTATATACTTTCCTTTAGTTAAGAATTTATTTTTTAATTTGAATACTTTATTTCTCTACAGATTTTTCCATATATTGTATTGATTAGCTATTATTCTCTTAACAGTTATGCCCCATGGTGTCCATCTTGCCAGCAGACTGATTCTGAATGGGAAACTTTTGCAAAGAATGGTGAAACACTTCAAATTAGTGTGGGGAAGATAGATGTCATTCAAGAACCAGGTACTGTAAATGTTGAACATAAAATGCAAAAATATAATGACTTCTTTATTTTGAATTTTTCAGACATACAGAAGAATTGAAAGACTAGGATGTTGATTACCCATGAACTAAGTGCCTTCAATTAAAAGATTACATTTTGACATATTTGAATCTACGCGTGTGTGTGTTTATACATATGTGCATATATGTATTTATTATTATTATTTTGTTGAGACATTGGCAGGAAGTTGCAAGCATCATTACATTTCACCCTCCAACTCTCTTCAGCATGTTAAAATTTTCCTGATTATTCCCCCTGGGTCTTTGTAAAGTTTTTTTGAACTAGGATTCAATCAAGGTTTACAACTTTGGTGGCTTATGATTTTGGTCTTTCTCAATCTAGCATTATCATTACCCCATTTTTTCACGACATTGATGTTCCAAAGAGACTAGGACAAGGTTTTACTAGATATTTCCTAATGGTAACATTTAACTTTTTCTCATATTTTCTGTAAACTGCAAGTTGAATCTAGAGGTATTGTTCAATTCAGATTAAACATTTATGGCAAGAGTACTTCATAAGTAGGCTAAGGGGTGGTGGTTCCAACTGGTAATCCCAGTATTTGAGAGACAGAGACAGGAGTGTTATAGTTCAAGACCAACCTAGTTACAGTTAGCAAGAGACTATCTGGAAAATAAACTAAAAAAGCAAAAAGGATTAAGGGTGTGTCTCAAATAGTAGAGCTCTTGCCCTGAGTTCAATCCCCAGTAATGAAAAAGAAAAAAGAGTTCTTTATAAGTGATCATATGTGGTGCTGTGACTGTCTTCTCATCACATAATACATATTGGCACCATTAGTGAAGTTAAGTTTGAGCACTTTGTTAAAGTGGTGACACCAAATATCTCAATTACTAAGAAACAACCCTACTTTGTCATTAGCAAGTCATCTGTCAGATGATACTTTGGGGTTTTAAGATCTATAGTGTTTTTGCCTCAAGAAGATACTTCATTGTGAGTTCCTGAATGGTGAATTTATAATTCTGTCATTCCATCTATCCTTATTAGCTGTGAATGCTATAATTTATCAAGAGGAAGAATAACTTTTGCTCCCAAAAGTGACAAGATATACACAATAAATTTGTATTTATAGTTTTAAAATAACTGTGTATTACATGTAAGTTAGGAATAAAAGTTGGACTTTTGTGATCTAAGTCTTTAAAATGTGGCTATTTTTAGTTTATCAGCCATCTTTTCCTATTGAAATTCAATTTCTAGCTACTTTATTTCTATTTGAAAGAAAAAAAGAAAGTAGGCATGGAAGAGTAGCTATTTACCTCCCTGTAATAATAGTGAGTTCATAAAACACAAAGTGATGAAGTACCAATTACTTTAACAGCAAAGCAAATGTTGTATGTCTATATGTGAACAAACCCAGAGAGAGATTTCTATTAAAAGCCTTGTCTCCAGGAACTGCTACCTTTTAATCATCGAGAAAAGCTATTAGTTCATGATTTTAACTGTTAAAACAAGTTATTCTGTTCGGAGATCAAATCATTGCAATTACATTTTTGTTGAACAGTTTTCATCTTTTAATAGTTTGAGTCCAGTGAAAACTGGCATAAAACTTGTTAATTAAAGGGCACCAGAAACATATTAGGATTGGTTTCTTAAAAATGCAGCCACCCCATTCATATTTCAGTCATCTGGTATTCTGCTATGAACTCACAGCATGATTTGAATTAAATTAGTTAAACAGTTTACCTTGTGATGGTTCATAAATTTAATATTTAATTGAATGTAGTCTTTCCATTTAAAAATATAGACTTACAGTTATTTTTTCCATTGTGAAAGGATCAAGAACAAAATAAGAGAGAAATTGGTTATGATGAAATATTTTTAAAACGTTTGTTGAGTCATTTATATAAATATAAACTAAATATATTTGGAGCACTCATCAAAGTAGGAGGAAAAATAACTTCTGTTTGCTATTCTATAGGAATAGAGAAGAAGCAAAGTCCAATAAAATAAAGGTGATTGTTTTGTGTACTAGTTTTCTCAGTCAAAGGCTTTAAAATTATTTCAAATGATAAAAATTTTAAAACTACAATTCACAAAAATTGGGTGACACAGTTCTACATACACAATTGTTTGAAAGACCTAGAGAATATAGTTTCAGCAATATAATCAAGTTTTGGTCAAGGCACTCTGGGTACATATCATAAGATCCTATTACCTAATGTAGATACATCTTAGTTTGTGTAAGTACATTCTATCATATTCATGCAACAGAAAGATTGCCTAAGGATGAATTTCACAGAACCTGTCAATCTTTAAGCAATGCCTGACTATATACTTCTGATATACCATTTTAAATTTATCGTTTTACTTTGAATGATAAATCTAACACTTTTGCTAATAGGGCTTAGAAATAATTGTTCATTCAACAAGTATCTGAGTTCCTTCAATGCACCAGGTCCGTTTCTAGATATGAAACACATAGAGATGAATAAGGAAGACCAAACCTGGCTCTTCATTGGGCTTACATTCTAGTAAGAGAGATAAATAATAACAAAAATAAAATGCAAAATAATGTCAGAGGGCATAGGGGCTATGAAGAAAAGTAAAATAAAGATGTAGAAAATAATGAGAGCCACTTTTTTAGATAGGCTATCCAGGAATGCATTGTTTAATCAGAGGTTTTGATAAATTGAGGTAGTGAAATTCAACAAGCTTTGTAGGGGGAACATTCTAGGCAGAGTAAAACCATGTGCAGGTGGGAGTATACATGGCTTATTTGAGAAACATACTTGGTACTTGAGTACCAAGTATGGGGATGGAAAAGTAGCTAGGGGCCAGACTGCATAGGGTATTGGCCATGGCATGGAGTTTAGATTTTATATGAAGTATGATAGGAAGAAAGCTACTGGAAGGTTTGAGCAGGAGAATGACAGTATGTTTTAAAAGAAATCTTTTAGCTGCTTTGTGAAGAAATTGACTGTAGAGAATCAGAAATGAAAGAAGGGAGAGCAGTTGGGAGGTTAGTATACTAGTCTAGAACTGGGAAGATGGTTGCTTATTTTAGTAGCCATAATGGTTAAATGGTTAGATTGAGACTAGGATTTTCTGATGGAATGTATGGATGTGGTGGGAAGAGAGGAGATGGAGAGGACTGTGGAGGAGTAGGCTTGGGACAAGGGTTACCTTTAGAATGTTAAATAGATATCCAAATAGAGATGAGCAGGAGAGAGAAACTTAAGATTATCAATGCAGATGTTTGAAGCTAGGGTAAGAAAAAGTAATTCCTGATATTACTCAGGAATGTGTGCTAGGGAAGTGAGAACTAGGGCATGCCTACATTTGAAACAAAGAAATTGCAGCAGAGGGAAAGAAATAACTGATGGGGTAGGAGAGAGGAAGAAGTAGAAGTGACTTATACTTCCCTCAGTACTGTGTTTCCTTTTAAGTACCTTGGGGATGTTTAAATTCACTTAGTCTGATATGAGAAACAAAAGAGAATTTCTTCTTTCAGAAGACTAATCATTAGTCAATAAGTTATCATGCTGAATATAGATTCAATTTATAAAATGGGAAAAGCAAATTTCCCATGTTACCAAAATTAAAACTTCAGTATTTCAAATTTCAAGTCACTACACAGGTGTAAAATTTGAACTTGGTTTGAATAGATACTTGATTTTACCCATATTGTTCTTTAATGAGAAAGGTTAAAATGATGAGAAATGTTAAAATGATTTATCTGTCATTTTTCCACATTGAATTCTCTCACTTTCTTTTTTACTCATTCTTGGGACCCTCATAAATATAATTTATTTGTAAATATTATTTATTTATAAAATTTAAAGGCCAGGGAGATGTTCTCTACTTCTAGTCTCATTCAAGTTTTTGTGCATACGCCTTTTCTTGGTATTGTCTGTCTTGGTTTATATTCATGATTGTTATTATTTGACAAAATTCATTCCCTCACTACACTGTAAGTTCTGTGAGTTCTTTGAAAACAGACTGTACCTGTTTTTATATATCAAAGTATCTTGAGTGACTATCACAGTTCCTGAAACAAAGAAGTTTCTTAGTATCAATAGATTCTGAGTAACTAAGGGTTTTATTCTATTTACCGTTATATACATATAGCATTTGATATGCCCTCAGTGTTCAGTACGGATTTGCTGTAACAGCCGAGTGCTGGAGGTTCACACATGTAATCCCAGCTACTTGGGAGGCTGAGATTGGAAAGATCTTGGTTAGAGGCTAACCCAGGCATAAAGTTAGCAAGACTCCATCTCAATCAATTGCTGAATGTGGTGGCACATGCCTGTCATCCCAACTATGTGAGAGGCTAAGATTGGGAGGATTGTGATACCAGGCCAGCTTGGACAAAAGTTTGAGAGACTCCAACTCATTGGGAAAAAGTTGGGCATGTTGGCATACACCTGTCATGCCAACTACAGTGGAAAGTATAAAATGAGAATCATGGGGTCCAGCCAGCCTGGGCAAAAAGTGAGGCCCTGTCTCAAAAATAACCCGAGCAGAAAAGGCTAGCCGTGTGGCTCAAGGGATAGAGCACCTGCTTAGCAAGTGTGAAGTCATGAGTTCAAACTATAGTACCATTGAAGAGGGAAAAAAAAGATTTCTTAAGGTAAATTTGAAAAACATGGTTAATATACATATATTCTCCTTCTAATATTGTAAATTTTATAAATGTAATTATATGTGAACTTATTTTATACTCTTTTCCTTTAAATTGATAACTGATATAACTAATACCTATAACTTGAGTCCTTCAGTATATGCCAGGCACAATGCTAAGCTCATGACATCTTTTTAAAAATTATTTATTTATTTATCTATCTTTTATTTATTCGCTTAACCACACTTCATCAAAATCGTGTATAATAAATCAGGAAATAAGGAGGTGATTTCTTTTGGAAAGTTATACAGTTAGACATTATCTTTCACACTCATGACATAATAGCAAATAAGTAGAGCGGTCAGATTTTTGCTTTTGAAGATATGGGATCAAAATTTCCTTCTCCCACTGACAAATCATATGCTTCTAATCCAAATAGAACTCAAGAAAGTTCTATTTCTTTGCCTATAGAAGATAAATAAAAATATTTTAATGTTATTTCATGCCTTCTTGATCTAATCTAACTTCAGAATAATTTGTTTAGGACTTAACATATTCATTTTACACATGAGGTGACTGAGATGCAGAAAGGTTAAGTACTTTGTCAAAAGCCATGAAGCTAGTAGGGGCAGTTATTATTAGCTCAGATTTTACAACTCTATAACTTACTGTCTCACTAGGATCCCAAGTAATGCATATGCCAGAAAATTCCAGGTAGCATGTGGAAGTCAGTGGCTGAAAAGTATTAGGTAAATAAAAATGGGTAGAAATAAAACCTCTGTAATTAAAAATTTTTAAAAAGTGATAAATGTGATTCAGTACTTGTAGCAGTTTTAATAATGTGATTATGAAAGTGCTTTTCTTCCGAACTTAAGTGTTTGGGGTATTCTGAATTTGACTTGTAACTTTTTTGCTTATGTTTCTTGTAGGTTTGAGTGGCCGTTTCTTTGTCACCACTCTCCCAGCATTTTTTCAGTAAGTTTAAATAATTTTCTGATCTTGCAAAGATTAGAAATTAGTAAATGTATACCAGGATATCAGAGATGTTTTCCATGACTACCACTCATTTAGTGCAATATTTAAGGGATGATTGCTGTTAGAAGACAAGTATACCTAGGTTGATGTGGAGAAAGAGGACATAATTTCAGGTAAGAAAAGATGGGACCATCAGTTTCTGATGATAAAAAAGGTTAGATGATTCTTAATATGTAAGCAGGAATGGATTAAGCCAACAAAGTAGAGAAGTTCTTTTCAGACATAGTAGATAGTATATATAAGCTAAGGAGAAAATGAAATACTTTCTGAGAACTATAGCCATTTCTTTAGAGCTGTCCCACAGATGCAGTTGGATCATGCTGAGTGATAAGATTAAAGAGACTCAGGCAGTAGCAGGGGAAAGTGAAAGGAAGGTAAAGATTTCAGAGATACTTAGGAAGTAATGATATTCAGATTTGGTGGCTGATTATCCATGGGAGAGAAGAGTCTATGATGACTACCCACAAGCCATTTATAACTAGTAAATGCTATTGCTGACTTGCTAGATAAGAAGCCCTTAGAATAAGATGAGATTGGAGAGACAGGAGCCAGAATGGAGAAGATAGTGTGAAGTGCTTGTGTTGATTCCAACTGGAGAAGTTTAGGTGACCATTTGGTGTCAGGATCTAGAACTCAGAAGAAAGGTCTAAACTGGAAATACTTATTAAGATTCCTAAGCATTGAGGTAGATGACAACTGAAATGTAGCTAGAGAGAACAATTACATGGGAGGAAAAGCAGATGCAGGAGAGAATCTGGCTGACCATCATTAATTAGGACATCTGCCAAGGGGTGGTCAGAAAAGTCTGAAGAAATCTAGAGAGCTCATGTCATAAAAGTCAAACCAAATGGACTGTATATCCATCTACAGTACGAATGAAAGGGTGGTAGTGAACAGTGCTAATGACAGGTGAAGGAAAAGTAACAGAAAAGTGCTCCATGGATATGGCACTTAGGGGTCATTGGAGACCCTCAGTCTGAGTAGTTCAATGGAATTGTGAGAACAGAACCCCCAAACTCCCTGTGTAATGAAGCAAAGAAAATGGAAAATGAGACGCTTGCCATGGAAGCTTGACAGGTGAGAGGAAGAGAGGTATGAAAGGCTGAAGGTAGATGGTAAATTAAACTGTTTTTTAGTGATTTTGAAGGGAGGGACATAAATTTGGAAGTATGGATATAAATTTTTTAACTTGACAGTAATCCTGTTTTGTTGTTGTAAGAGAAAAATCAAAGTAATTGGTAGCAGCAATAATAAACAGTAACTTGGCAGGTTAAACACTGCTAATAATTTGCTTACATTTGCAAATTATACAGTGATAAAATAGAATATTTAATGCTTTCAGACTTGGAATTTCTCTTTTGTAATAGAGTATGCCTAACTATATTTTTTCTTCATTTGAGCCAATTTAAAGTTCTAGCAGAATTCACATGTATGACTGATAGTTATTTTGATTTTTACTCTTAACACCTGTTATTTTGATTTACTTATTTTCTACTTATTTTTACAATCTGTAGTGCAAAAGATGGGATATTCCGCCGTTACCGTGGCCCAGGAATCTTTGAAGACCTACAGAATTACATCTTAGAGAAGAAATGGCAATCTGTTGAGCCTCTGACTGGCTGGAAATCCCCAGCTTCTCTAACGTAACTTGTTAATATTTTCATGATAAAGTGATAAATAAAATAACAGGTATCAAATTAGCCTGTGTACCATAAAAACCTACATTTTTCTTTATATTCCCTTCTGGTTATGCAGATTACACATGCCCATGATGGACCCATGTGTAGTGTATCTGGTGTTGAGACCACCTGTGTTTCAGTTGACTTTAATCTACTGGAAGTTGAGTAGCCATATCTGTGTGGATCACAGAAAGCCTGTCCTTTAGCTTTTTCATTAAGCCATGCCAACTATTTTCTTTTTATAAACACCAGTTGCCATTCTTTCTTCCTTTTAAATTATTGTTAAAATGGAGGATCAACTCTTTAATTATAGTTTATGAAGGAACTGCTATTGTATCTTTTGTGGAAAATAAAACCTATTGTGTGTTTGGTTACCTGACAAAATACTGCTGGGGGTAACTTTGTGGCCATGATGGTATACTGTGTAATAACTCAATGAAGTAAATAAGACTGAACTATAATAACTGTTTCCATAGTTAGCTTTAATTTTGATTGGTCATATTTGTAATTAATTTTTAGTGTCTACAGGTATAAGAAATATCCTTACTAACATGGGAGCAAATAGTACGAGATTTCAGAAATAAATCATGTAGTGACATTTATATTAACACTCAGGAGATATAGAGCAAACTTGTCTCTGGCATTTCAATGTATAAGTAACTGAGCACTGATTTTATGCCAGCTATTGTTCTAGGTGCTAGGTATTCAGTGACAAGACAGACATGGTTTTTCTACTACCCTCAGGTAACTTAAAGTCAGACAGCTAGAAATAAATGGGGATATGAAAAATCCTACTCTGGATAGGCTGTTAACAAAAACAGCACGTCTAAGACAGAAAACTGTGCGGTCTTGGCAACTTTTAGATGGAGTTAGAAGAGGTTTCCTTGAGAGGATGACTAGAAGGAATTAGCCCAGATAAAGAATAGAGGGAAAAATATTCCCGGGAATGAGTATAGCATGCACACAAGCCCCAATTTGGGAAAGAGTGTGGTTCATATCAGGGCATCTTGGTGGTCAGACTGGAGCACTGTGAAAAGGAGGGACAGTAGTGTAAGCTGAGTAAAAGAAGCAGGATGAAGCCAGATCATGCAGGGTCTGTGGCCACAGCAAGGAACTTGGAGATTGTCAGTACATGCAAAAAAAATTGAGTCTTAGGAGAAGACAGTGGAGAGGTCAAAAATGGATGAGGAGAGACCATTTAAAAGGGTTTCATGTGTCCAGCCTTGAGTTGGTAGCTTGTAGCAGGTTGGCAGCAGTGGAAATGGAGAGAATGAGTAGATTTAAAATATGTAAAGAGAAGGAGAATTTTGTAAGTAAAAATTCCTAGGTTTCATGTTTTGAGTACTTGGTGGATCTTGGTATGTGTTTCTGATTAGAACAAGAGAAAAAACAAGGATTCTGTATCGGACTTATTAAGTTTGAAGTACAGACTTTGTGAAGCTGTTAAGTTGGATGCATGGAGATGGGTCTCTGTATAGTATGCAGCAACACAAGCGAAAGACACTTAGATGGTGTTTAAATCATTGGAAGGGAGGGGAGTATCTAGAATAAAAGAAAAAGGAGTGCTCTGGATTGATCCATGAGCCATTCTCAAATTAAGAAGTTAGGTAGAGAATGAGCCAGTAAAAGAAAACTGAAAATGAGTGCCAGCAGGGCAGGAGGACTACCAGGGGTATGCCATTTTCCAGAAACCAAGTAATAAAAGGTGCTCAAGAAGTAAGTCAGAGTGCTTATGTTCCATGTTACTAAGAAGTAAAGGAAGATCAAATTCAAGTCTGTGACAGGGACATAGAATCAAACAAAAATAAGATCATCACAGGCTTTGAAAGTATTGGTGCTACAGTGGTGAGAATAGAGCCACATTTGAATGAGTTAAAGATATGGTGCAGAAGAAGAAAGAACAAGTGAGGACTACTCTTTGGAGAAATGGGTGCATGAAGCTGGAGGGCCATGTGAGGTGTGTAGGTTTGCCATTTTTAGAAGATGGATGTGTTTGCATGCAGAGGGTCCAGCAGAGACTAAGACATTGCTAGTGCAGGAAGAAAGGGCAACAGAACCAAATTATTAACAGGACAAAAGGGATAGGAGCCAAGGCACAAGTGGGAATTGGACCATACTAGGGCAGGTAAACTTTCCTGTGGACACGAAAAGTTGAATGCAAGTTTCTATCAGGACCAGATTTGGTGGTGAAAGGATAACAGAGATCAGATAATGGCTTCTGATTTCACAGTGACATATGAGGAGTGTTAACTGAGAGTGCTTCTAGAGGGGAGGAAATATAACATTTAAAGTGAGGATTAAGGAAATGAGCTGTTACCAAAGTTAGAGCCTTAAAACTGTAGGAGAACTGGGCAGTATTGAGCATTCACTTAGGTTTGGAGGTCAACTAGGCTTGTGGTCTTTTCTAGGATCTATTTAGCTGTTCAGAGTTAAGGTTTTTGCCAGTTATGTGGGAGATACGAAGGGAGAAAGGGCCAAGGAATTAGAATACATTTGCAGCAAAGTGATTCAGGTGATGGTCATGGTATCGAAACTCTGTAAGAGAAATGAATCCAGAAGTGAGAACAATGTATAGCAAAAAGTAGAGGGATCAGTGGAGGGGCAGTCCCCCAGATCTTAATTTTGTCTTTTTTTTTTTTTTCATAGTATGCATGAGCAATGATTCTTTTTTCTTTCCTTTTTTTTTTTTAATAGGATGTCTGGAATGGCTGGTCTTTTTAGCATCTCTGGCAAGATTTGGGTGAGTAATCTTAAATAACTATTATAGTTGCAGAGAGTTTTTAAGAATAAAAATCTAAGCCAGGCTCATGCCTATAATCTTAACTACTCAGGAGGCAGGGATCAGGAGGATCGCAGTTCAAAGCCAGCTCGGGCAAATAGTTCGTGAGACCCTATCAAAAAACCCACAAGATAAAAGCGAGAGCACAGGAGTCTTTGCTCCCATTTCCTGCATGGGGAACAGGAAATGCTTCTCTCTCTTTTCTCCACACTGTTCCTCTCCTAATAAACTTTACTGTTACTTAAAAAAAAAAAAAAAAAGCGAGAGCACACAAGGGAGATATGAGGATAGGTAAGACACCTAAAAAATTAGCTAGCATTTGTTGCCCTCAACACAGAGAAATTAAAGCAGATACCTTAAAGCAACTGAGGCCAATAGGAGAAGGGGACCAGGAACTAGAGAAAAGGTTAGATCAAAAAGAATTAACCTAGAAGGTAATACACATGCATAGGAAATTAATGTGAGTCAGCTCCCTGTATAGCTATCCTTATCTCAACTAGCAAAAGCCCTTGTTCCTTCGTATTATTGCTTATACTCTCTCTTCAACAAAATTAGAGATAAGGGCAAAATAGTTTCTGCTGGGTATCGAGGGGGTCGGGGGGAGAGGGAGGGGGCAGTGTGGGTGGTAAGGGAGGGAGTGGGGGCAGGGGGGAGAAATGACCCAAGCATTGTATGCACATATGAATAATAAACAAAAAGAAAAGAAAAAAAAAGCAAAAAAGAAAAACCCTTCACACAAAAAAGGAAGGGCTGGTGGAGTGGCTCAAGGTGTAGGTCCTGAGTTCAAACCCCAGTACCGCAAAAAAAAAAAAAAGTAGCTTTTGATATAATAGGTAAATACACATTTATAATTATGTTTATAATTTCATTTTTCTTCTTAAGCTACACAGCATGAAGGAAGGTTTGCACATCAGTGGTCAACAAGCAGCAGCCTGTGGGTCTGCCATCTATTTTTATAAGCAAAGCTTTATTTTAACACAGCCATGTTCATTCAATATCTAGTTTCTGCGACTTCTTTTGTACTGCAGTGGTAGACTGAATGGTTGTTACAGACAGAGTTGTGACCTACTAGCAGGAAAGTAGAGTGACTAATGCCATTGAGACAGGAAAAAACATGCAGATATCTGCTGTATGTGGTTGTATACTTCCACTTAGTCATTTCAGTATAATAGAACTATTATTCAGGTTGAAGTAATGAACTATTATACAATCTTGACTATGTCTCTTGATCTTTAGTTCTGTAGAGAGGACTAAATCCAACAGATTTAACAAAATTATCCTGAAATTAAATGTAATTCAAAATATTTAAAAAAAAATCTTTAGAATTGAGTTCTCGTATGTCTTTTCTAAGCTATGATTATGTCATGTTTGGAACCTAATATTCTAGGAGCTCATGAAGATTTTCTGTATCTCATGTACACCAATAAATGTTGAGGGAAATTTCAGAATCTTTTGTAACTCAGTTTCTTATTCTGCCTTGTGAGATAGATACATACTTCAGACTTCTTGTTTGTTTTTTTACAACAGAGGCTAAAGGGAAACTTGAATTCGGTTCTTTTTGGTTAAAATTTAACTGGTTTAATTTTTTGACATTTGTTTATCATATTAAACAATAATCTCTGTATCCAGACAGTTTAGGTTTCGAGAGGTTTCCTGTGCTGTTTTGTTAACATTGGTGAGAAATTTGATCGAGGGCTAAGGATTATGAATCACAAGCTGGGAGCTGAAAGTAGGGAATTCTGCCTTCTGCAGTGTGTTGATATTAAAGAATTGCCAAAGTTATAGACTACTTGTCTGAGCCCTGAAGCATTATAATGTCTCATTCAACAGAATAATTATAATAGGTGGATGCCAGACAGCATTGACAGCAAGACCTTAGCACAGAACCTATGATAAATGTAAATGAAGACATGAATTTGCTTTGTAGGTTAAGAGCTTAGATGGCAGTTGCCTTCACAGATTGATCAATGGCAGGGAAGATACATAATTTATACATTCTAGAATCTTACCCTTCTCTTCTTATTCACAAATTGTATGATCTCTGGCCTGGTGGGACCCATTGCTTGATTTCCCACCAGGTCTCTGGTTCTCACTTCAACCTCTAGATACACACTGGCTTTATTGCCTTACAAGGCCTCTTACTCAGCCAGTCCTAGATGAATACCCTGCCTGCTCATTTAGCTTATTTAGCCATTGCTTCCTTTTGCCCAGGAGCCTCACATCAAGGTTGAATGTATAATTGCAGGAAGCATAATCTGCTTTAAACTCATGCCTGAACTGCAGTGCAACCATATTAATAGTGAACAGAACAAATACTGCACATGGTGAAAGAGGGAGAGACAAAGAGACCCTGGAGGGCATTAGAACCCAAAGAGGGTAGTCTCAGAGAAAGAAGATAAAAACATGGAAACAGGAAAGAAGTAGAGTAGCTAATGCCAATGAGGCAAGATTGTTGAGTATCCACAATCTTTTTTACCTTACTGAGATTCGGGGTACCCATAAATATTGAGTCAGTCTTTCCTCAGCAGTAGTCTCCCCTGTATGGGTAGCTGGTGATAATGGAAATACTTCCAATGAGAAAGGTGCAAGTTATTAATGGGGAGGAAGATAGCAAAACAACATCTATTGTGTATATGAAAAAAAGCTTAAATGATTTTGAAAAACTTTTTCTGTAATTCTTAATTTTTCTGTTAATGAAAAGAAAAATGCAAACAATAGCAAAATCTAGATGCTAAGAGTCTACTAAAGGAGTTACTGGCTTCCATGCTCTGCTACACTTCTCTAGCTGTAGCCTTTCCTTTCTCTCTAATAAATCCCACTTTTTATATACTGAAAAAAAAAAGTCTACTGAAATAGTGATTCCTTAAAGTCTTTAAGTTTCTGTTTTAGGAGTGAAGCTGATTTACTCATTAAAAGCTTGCCCTAAGGATCCTAGGATTGCCTGGTGTTGAGATACCCACATTACCAAATTCCTACAAATTTAGAGGTTTTGTTTGGTTTGCATTTGGCCTTCATAATGTTATACCAATCTGCTTATACTTGAGTAAGAAGTCCCTTGAATAACCTTACAATTCAATTCCTGTGAGCTTCCTGCTCTTACCTGAGTCCTAGGAATTGTTGATAGGTAATTTGTACCACAGTGTAGATAAGAGTAGATCATCTCCAGGGTTCTTTCCATCACCAAATTCAGATTGTCTTTTCAATCTAGTTGTGATGGGATCTACATATATACCTTAATCTTGGTGTGAGCTCATAGGTGCATTTGCCATGTCAGCTATAGCACCTGTCCTTGTAGATACTTTTGACCTTCCATTCATTTCACAGGTATCACTGAAGTCTGTGAGGTGTATAGTTTAAGGAGTTTCTTGGGGAAGAGACTTCTTCAAAGTACAGAATTGATTCTGATTTTGTAATGTAGTAATAATAGAAAATGTCTTTAAATTGCTATATAACCTTAAGGGTATGGTGGTTCACACCTGTAATCCCAGCATTTGGGAAGCTAAGTCAGGAGGATAGCTAGTTTGAGGCCAGCCTGAATTACATAGTGAGGACTTGTCTTGAAACAAATAAACAAAAACACCTTTAAGGGCTGCTGGAGTGGCTCAAGTGGTAGAATTCCTGGTTAGCAAGCATGAGGCTCTGAGTTGAAACCCCAGTGCTACCAAAAAAAGAAAGAAAGAAAGAAAAACACCCTCAAAAAAGCAACTTTAAAAAATTTACTTAATATAATGAAAAATGCTAAAATTCTAAAGGATTGGTACAGGATAAGGTGAATGTCATGAAAGCAGTGTGCAGAAGACTGAATTTCAGGAAACATTGGTGTAGGTATGGTGTCATAGTCAGGATTGGGAATCCTTGGACTGAGATTTTGTCTGATGGTCCATATGTGGTCTGTTTTCTCATTTCTCTTCACAATTGGCTACAATGCTGGAGAGAGGCACTATCCTTCTTTCTTGGAGAAACACAAGCCATTGTTTCCCACCTTATTTTCTTGTGGGACCCATAGATGCTGCGAGGTTGTGTCTTCTGCAGGTGTTGAGAGGTAGAATACAGAAGAAGACATGTATCCTTGGCCACCACTGAGGAGTCCTTTCTAGCTTCTCATGCAGGGAAGATATGTTGGGGATTTTGATCTGTGGATGAAAAGGATCAATGGTTTGTCTCTGAATTCCTCAGAGAAATATCCTGTGATACAGGTCAGCTCTAACTCCTTTGACCCAGTTCAACTTTGAGTAAGACTACAAAATGAGTGAGTTTTTGCCTGTGACTATGGAGGACTTAGCCTGGTTCTGTTCCTTACATCAGTCTGACCACTGATTAGAACATTCTCTTCATTTTTTCTAATATAATGATGTTCCCTTTTAGTCTCCTCACTCAAGTCTATATGTACACAAACATTAGCTCTAACTTAGTTATCTAGTACAATATATAATAGCTGAGGGTATCATTCTTATTGGTGACATTTTAGTGCGTTTTTAGTAAACAGTATAGGATACTTCCTGGTCATGAGAACATGTAATATTGAATAAGTATCAGTATTTTGCACAAATGGAAACTGTTACTTAAAGAAACGTGTTTAAAAAAACAGAAACAGAAGTCTAAAATTGAATTTGATCAGTTATAATCAGTTATTACTTTGGAAATACATATGTTACAAAACTTCAAGCACATAATACTACAGATCCACTCATAAAGGGATCTAAAGCCATTGTGAACTAAGAGTAAATAGGTGAAGATTTATGTATACAGTTGTGAAAGCATAACTTGATTAGTGAAGTTTAATAATAATTACCTAAAAGACCACAAGATGGCAGAATTTCTTTTAAAAGCCCAAATCACTTAAAGAGTAGCTTGATATGAGAAAATTAAAGTGGAAGTTTTTAAAATACAAGAAAACTGAAGTAGGGCTTATTAAAGTAAGAGGATGTCTTAAAATGCAATTCTTTTAGAACCAGAATGCAGTGATTTAAAGCAAATAGTTTACTGGAATCTAAAAATTAGCTTAGAATGTTTCTAGAGGGTTACTTTAATCATTTATTCTATACAAATGGCATAAAACCCTGTCCAGAAGGATTTAAAACTGCACATTATTCATCTCAAGAGTTCTAACCGCATGAGTAAGGTCATGTTACGATATTCATAAAGCAAGTTCCAGTAATACATCCCTGAGTCAGCCCAGAGGTAGATTGGCTTTGACTGCCTTCTCATTCTTTGGCTCATTTCAGGTTGATGAGCTTGATGATGGCACTGAGTCATCAAGAAAAGCATAAATTGTTCAATACACAATATTACCTAAAGTAAGGAACTGTACAATACTTTTTACAACTTACATCAAAAAGACTTGGGAACTGCCTTTTGATGTCTTAAATAGTACCTCTTTTGCCTGCTGGGTTGCAGAGTGCTCTGCTACTTAGTACAAAATTGTTCTGACTAAACACAGACTAAAGACCAATACCATCAACAGAGGAAAGATGATGACTTTACAAATCAAAATTTGGTTTATACTTCATGTGAATAGTTCAAGTGTTTGATACATCTTTTCTGTATTCAGCAAATATTGATAGAATTCTTTGATTATATGTGGCAGTGTTTAAAATATTTGCTGAATCTTCACATCTATCAATCAGATTATGCTATAGATCACTTAACACACATTTGTTTTCTTGTCTATCATTCAGAATTAAGTTAGAATAAAATGTTACTTAATTGCTTGATATAAACTAAGCAACTAATGGAAGTGACTTAGATTTTGAAAAAGATGAAATTAACATTTTCACCAGTTCTTGGAAAATCATTATCTCTGCTTGCTGTAGATATTTAACTTAGAACCATTTCATCCTGTGTCCAGTAATAACTTAGGCTGTAGTTAATGGCAGTTTTGAAGCTGTAAAGGTCTAAATCAGATGATTATATCATCATGGAGAATCATGGTGCCTGCAAGGGCACATCTAAGTGGGGTTTAACATTAAATGAAAGGTTCATAGTTATAATTCATATATTATTTGCCTTGGTTTTGCTAAATTTTAGCTAGGATTGTGTCACTCATTTTTTAAAGTGTTTGTCATCATATAGAGTGTCAGAGAACAGTAAGCATGAAAGGTGTATACTCTTCTCAAAACACTGATGAAATCTCATTTGTGCATGATAAATTACCAAAGAAAGCTGTATCTTCTGTCCAATATTACTTGTATGTTTTATGGCAATTTAGTAAACTTGGCTTGGATGGATAGTGGTAGAGCAATAATAATCTGGTTAGAAAATGTATGGGGACTTTTTGTTCTTTTTTTTGTTGTTGTTAACATTAATAGTACCAGAGAATTTCATTGTGATAATTCCATACATGAGTGCTATATACATTGAACAAATTTACCACCTCTGTTATATTCCTTTAACCCCCCTCCCTCCTTTCCTTTTTTAAACAGTGTTAGGTAAGTTTCATTATTTTGTATAAATATATATATATATTTGAATAGTACATTATGTGTATATATATATATACACATAATATATATATATAATATACCTTAATAATATATATATAATATACCTCAGTCCTTTTATTTTACCTTCTCCTTTCCCCTTCCCCTTCTTGCTCATCCCTTTTATAGTCATGTCCCATTAAAATCATTCATCATCATTATCATTTTGGGTCTAGATTTCACATATGAGTGAAAATGTGATATATTGCTTTTTGAGCTTGACTTTTTTTGACTTATCTTGCCTGACATACTGATCTAAGTATGAAGACATTTTATGTGGTTTGTGTTAGCTTTACCCAAAATTGATAAAGGCCGCAAGCTGTTCCTTTTTTTAATGGATGCCATATTCTGATTAAATATTGAGGTGTATATAATTATTTAGTAAGGAAGACCAAAAAAATCTATTATGATGGAAGAAAGGACTAACAAAACAATATTACCATAGTTCTGTCTAGATTGTGGACTGTAAGGAAACAACTCTTATTAGATATGACCTTGATACTATGCTATAAAATTTGACTTGTTCATTAAGAATCATTTGAATACATATATGGAGGAACAATCTGTAGGCAGACAATGTGAAAGAAATTCTAGTATTTTTGGTCCTTATTATGAGTAAATATTTAATTTTTTTTTATTTCAGCATCTTCACAACTATTTCACAGTGACCCTCGGAATTCCTGCTTGGTGTTCTTATGTCTTTTTTGTCATTGCCACTTTGGTTTTTGGCCTCTTCATGGGTCTGGTAAGAGATAGTATCAATCTTTTTTCTTGTCTTTAAAGCAAAGTAGGTTTTGTGTAAAATTAAAAAGCACCCAAAAAAGAAAAAGTCCATAAATATTCTCTATGTGTATAATCCAAGAGTTAAATAGCATTTGCTTCTTGAAACTGCTTTTGATTATAATGTGAGCTATAATGAAAAAAATCACTGTGTTATTAACTCCTCATCCTATCCCTTATTCTGAAGATGTGTGCTGCCCAGAATGTAGTAGTAGTGAAAAGAGAAATAGACATCTTACTATAAATGATAATCAGTTTACAAAACAACCAAGTCAGCTGTGATTTCACATGTTGCCTCCTTGATTAGAATATTGAGGTGAAAAGGCAAAGTTGTGACTCTACCCAAAGGGTTAAATGAAAGATTTTTTTTTTCTTGTTTATATCCTCCAATTGAACCTCTAATCTCTGTTCAAAATGCCTTTGCCACAATTGTATATGGAATTTGCCTTCAGTCATCTTCAATTTCATCTGTACTTTCTAACTTACTTTTTGTGAATTATATAATTTGAAACAGCAGCGTTCTTATTTCATTTTAAATCACTATTTCCAAATGGTGTGTTTGTTAACTTCTAGTATTACAGTGAAAGTGTTGGCTAGAATGATACTTGCACAGCGCACTAGGGGAAGGGGATGCTGCTACTAGACAAAGCTGTTTGAGGCTGGCTTTAACTGGCCCTGGGGAACCACTGCTCCATGTCCTACAGAGACTCCCTGAGGATGATACATCTGTTGGGAAGCTAATATCTAAAGAGTCTCACCAACTGAGTCAAAACTAAGTGAGCAGTTCAAATAGAATAAATCTGAGATGAAATTGCTGCGTGTGAGATTTTTCAAAATAGAAGAGTAAGAATTGGCCTAGTGCTCAAAGGAAGAGAGTCTTTAGGATGCTCTGTTTGATTCCTTCCAGAAGCCTGAAACCAAAAGGTTTTATGACTTGCTTGCCTTTCTGCTTCACAGAATCAGGATTAGAGGTGAGATCTTCAGGTGTGGGGTTCAGCATCTTCTGCGTAACATCTTTGCCATTAACTGGGGCTGGAAGCTAATCCAGGCTTGCGGTCATGTGAAGCTCTATCCCAATGACCTTTCTCCTTCCTCCTGTCATTTTCATGGAATTAAACTTACATAGTGACCAAGAAGGCAGGATATTTTCCATAAGCACTATTCTTGATTAAGTTATTGCTTCACATTGACTATTACATTTATTATTGTTTTCCAAATTTTAAAAGGTGGGAAACAAAAGCAAGTCTATTAGTTTGAATTATGTGTGTTTTCTTGGTTGAGCCTAGTGATGGTTGAAATATTTTGCTAAATGTCATTTTTCATGTGTAAACAAAGGGCTTGGTTTTACAATTGGGAGGAATCCTTAGTGCATAGTCTGTATATCATATTATTCTCACAGCATCACTTTCTGTTGTCGGTGTGCTATGAAGGTTGGAAGGCAGCATAGTTCTAAACAAGCAAAAGAGCTGTGGATAACAGCCAGCCATCATGTGACTTGGTAGTAAAGTTGATTCAGCTCAAATGGTTCAGTAACAAAAAAGTGACAGACAGGGTTGATTTTGCTTCTTTTGCCTGGTCTTTATTCCTATTAATATATATAGGCACTGTTCAAATTTTGGTGCTTAAGTAAATTATTTTTCTATGCTGCTGATCAGTGCCGGACCTAATGACCTTATACAGAAAAGGGTCTCTGGTATTAGAGGCATGATGCTATTCTTTGTGAAAAAATACATCCTCCTTGACTGGGGGCATGACTATCTGTACCATCTGGATACAGCTGAAACTGGAAAGGGTCATTGTAGAAAATGAAGAGGAAGGCTCCATTTCCCTATAGAAATGTTTATAAATAGTACCATTTTTTTAGTGGCTTAGAAAGTGCACCATTTCCAGTTTACTGTTCAAATCAATTTAATGATTTGGAGCTTACTGTTCTCCAACCCATAAGTCCTTCCTACAACCCATTGCCTCATTTTGTGGTTCTCCTTAACTTGGCATTCGGGACTTTGTCTGGATTTACGAGCTCAGAATCTCAATTGGTGCAGCTGAGAGCAGCCAAGCAGCAGGTGTTGCCCCACCCGCTCCTGACTATGCTGAGGGTCTTAGTGCTTCCTCCTTCAAATGAGAATTCTTCCACCCCCATTATTTGATGTGACCTCGTTATATCTTATGTACCCAAAAGCTTTATTCGTTGTATGAGACTCAAGTTCCATTTTGCTTTATACTTCAAGGTTTTTCCCTTTTCAGCATTTCCCCCTTGGATGTTAACATGGTACCTTGACCTAATGAGTCAAATATTAAGTAAAGTAATAAATGAACATATGCATTGTAATAATCATAACACAAAGTAGGGTACTCGTGATGTTTATAAAATTGAATCAAAAGGAATATGACTTATTTAAATTTCAGAGCTCCTATTGAACACTAGTATATGTAGTATTATTTCTATTTTTAAGACTGGGCAATTATTCAAAGAGAAGTCATAGTCTAAGTGTTAACTACTTACCAGAAGAAATATACAGGCTTCCAATCAGGCAGCTTCATCTAGTGCTGGATGTCTTTGTGTTGTGTGGTGCGATAGGGGAAAGGAAAAGTCATAGTTAGAAAGCTTAGCTTCAGCTAATTCTGGCTCCAGCTGACTCAGCCCTGTTGGACACAAGCCATCAGTTTCATCAGTATGGCCCATGCTGGTCCTTGTACATAGAACATGGACTGATGTGATCTGTCCCTTAAGGAACTTCTAGTTCTTCAAGGAAAAGACGTGTTTATTATAGTGAAAGTGCCTTATGCATCAGTCAGTGTCAGAGGTGAAGCCATTCAATTAAATCGAGTGCCTAAATTAAGGGGTTTTGTTTACAGCATTGAGGGGTTTTCTCACAGTTCGTCTCCGAAGATATTTCTTAGGGTATTTTTAAGAATTTCAGACTTTCAGATGTTCTTCCACTCAGTAAAAGATTACTGGTTAGTGTGGGACAGTTCAAATACAAAGTAGTTTTTTCAAACTAGTGCTTTCTAAGAGACTATTTCAGACTTGGCTGACAGTGTCTCTGTTCCTGTGTCTGCTTGATTTGTCTATTTATAGTGGCCTTTCTGTGAACATTTGACTGTGTGGTCCACATTAAATACAGTATTTTCCTGTATTCTGTAACATTTTGAAAGTAGAAAATTCTTACTTATAACCTTGTCTTTTTGAAGACTTTCAATGAGCTATTAATTATTAGTCTAAGAATATCAGGTTATAGAAGCACAGCCTAATTTTGAGGCCCTTTTGTAATAAATGTCCTGTCTACTCACTGTAAAAAACCTTTTCCTTCCCTCCCTCCAGATCTTGGTGATAATATCAGAATGTTTCTGTGTGCCACTTCCAAGAAATTTATCTGAACATTCTGGTAAGTATGAAAAGTTCATGTGGTAGAATTTTTTTGGATTTTTGTGATGTTCTATGGCTTAGAATTCCCTTTTGTGCTCTTACAAGATAAGATAGTGGATTTTTCCCTTTAGTTTGCTGGCCATCCAAACTCATCATTATCACATTCCTTAAAATATGTTCTCCAGGTATATTTGAAAAAAATTACTTTTTGCTCTTTTAAATTAGAGAATATTTCACATTGGTGATTGCATTTTCCCTTTGGTTTAATGAAGGCCATTAATTAGTGGACACCTTTTTCTGTTTTGAATTGTAACAAGAAGGGAGGTAATAGAACTCACATTAACTGAGTTGCTATCGTGTGAAAAGCAATCTCCACAGCTCTTTCACTTCATCACAGTACTTCTGGGACTCAGAAGCCCTGAATTTGAATGTCTTTATTCCTGACTGGTTTTGAGACTTTGCATAAACATTTGTAATTGTTGGATTTTATTGAGAGTTTAAATAAATTCATATTTCTTTTTATTTCTTGAAATTTTTGAGAGTTTAAGACTAACATAGATAGTTGAACAATTTGTATGATCCTTAGAATTCTTGAGTGTGACAGAAGCCCAATATAAAGCATCTTAGGGAAACAAATGAAAACTTACTACTTCACATAACTGAAAACTAGGGGTACCCTAGCTTTAAGCTCAGGTCAAGTGATGTTAGATTTCTGCTTCCATGGGGCTTGATATTCAGTGGCTGTCAGTAGTCCCAACTCACATTTTAAGAGTTTAACAAACTGCAGATAAAGGAAAACTTTTCTTCTTGACTTTGGCCCCAAACTCCTGGGGAAGACTGGCTCAGATTAGGTCACATTTCTGAATCAATGACTATGGCCAGTTGGTCACTGAGCCTTCTACAAGGTACAAAATGTGGAGCACAAAGGAACCTTTGTCCTCCATGTCCACATTCTCTGTGAAAGTTAACACAATTAGTGAAATCCCCAGAGAGTAATGGAGAAGCCCTGGATAGAGCTAGGATGCCAAGCAGAGAATCTGTCCTGTGTGATATCAGAGCTTTCAGATGCAGAAAACTGTTAGCACTCCCCCTACTTTTTCACTTCACAGTTACATTCTTAATTGATTACTGAATGGTCATTTATTTGGAGGGCGTTTTTCTTCTCTTCATAGAGCAGGATCAGAGGTCAAAGGAGACTCATGGGACTGAACAGCTGCAGGAAGCAGAGGAGGAAAAAGATGACTCTAATGAAGAAGAAAATAAGGACAGCCTTGTGGATGACGAAGAAGAGAAAGAAGACTTTGGAGATGAGGACGAAGCAGAGGAGGAAGAGGAAGAGGACAGCCCAGTAGGTGGTGTGGATGAGGAGAGGAGTAATGCCAGTGACCAGGGGCTCCTGAAGGGAGACAATGTACCCAAGGAGGAAGCTGAACCTGAAGAACCTGGAGATGTCCTTGAGAAGCCCCATTCTGATGACACAGGGGTGGCAGAAGACTCATTGAGGCAGCGCAAGAGTCAGCATGCCAATAAGGGATCATAGGTTTAATAACACTGTTTCCAGCCATATAGACCAAAAGAATATGTCAGCTTCCCTCTGGTCTGTAGTTTAAAGCAAATACTTAATTTTCCCTGAATGAACAAGTTTCTCTCTGAGGAGGTGATCTCCAGTCATATAGTTGCATGGCAGCTAGCCAGCATATCCTAAGTATTTTCAAGTGTGACAATCAGGAAACAGAAGAACAACATGGTGTTAGGATCTATTTGGAGGCTTAGGTTGGGAACAAGTTTACTTACTTCATTTACTTGGGGCTTGAGAGTCAGTCAGAGAAGGCTACCCTCAGCCCTCATTAGCACCTTATAGAGATGAGGCTGCAGGTCTCATAAAATGAAAGCAAAATCACCTATACTCTTGAGTATCTTCAAAGTGCAGCAAAAGTTGTGCTTCCTTTTCATGTGTTACGTATTTATTTTGTCAAACTATTAAGAAACATCAGGTACCACAGTGCACAAACATTTTTAAGAGACAGAATTTGAGAGGACCCTGGATATAATTTTAGAAACCAGTTTGGAAGTCAGATCAGCCTTCTAGCTCTCCTTTGTTATGTTTTACTTCTTACCTTTAATTTCCCCTGCTTTTCAAGCCTGCAGACTCTTCACAATTCTTTCTTAGTGAGAATACTCAGACAAGAGCAAGGTCTGTCTCCACCACATTTATATTTACTTAAAAATTTAGATAATCAGTAACTGTAACCCATGAAACCATGACTGCCAAGCTTCTTGAATAAAATGTTGTAAACTTTGGAGATTCAAAAGGAAGTAGGGATTTTACAGAACAGATTTAAAAAAAAAAAATTTTTTTTTTTTTTTTGGCCAACATGTAGTAGTTTCTTCTTCTTTTTTTTTTTTTTCAAAAAGTTCCTTTAGCAATTAAAAAAAAAAAAAAAGTTTTTTTTTTAAGCCAGAAGTGCACTAAGTCTTGCCAGTACATGGTAGTCTTGTGAAGAAAACTTGAATGCTGTATTATTTTGTTTCCATCTCAAGGGGTTCTTTGGCTCTTGAACCACTCTAATAATAACTGAAAAAACATTTTTGATTTTCTTTCAGTGATGTGCTTTGGGGGAAGAAATTAATGAAAGTATCAGGAAATGAAAGATTTGATTTTGTTTTCATCTTCTTTAATCTTCTAGAGGATTGTATCTTTGTAAGTCTCTCACTATTCAATCTACTTTCAGTACCCAGGGAGTCCAATTTCTTTTTTAAAAAACCCATCCAGCTTCTCTTTTACCTGATTTATGTCTTAGAGTAAATTCATAAAATTACATTCCAGGCATATGAAAGATGCCTAAAGTCAATCTTATGCCTCTTGGGGCCAGACAGAATAATGAGTATAGGTTTATGAAATTCAAAAAGTTTCTATCATCTTTGAAAAGGAATATGTAGTAAAATTTCTATAGGGCTGTTTAGATAACCTTTTCCTTATATTAACTAAACCTGGGGCTAACTGGAGCATTTTGAAATTCTCTGCCCTCTTAACAGTTGCATGAGGCTGCTGTATGTCTTATACTAACTCAGTTTGATAGTCCATTTTTAGAGGTGGTTATTTTTTCATCTTTCCAACTCAGTTAACTCTCAGTCTCTTCTCTGAGTACAGTGAAGTTTGTTAAGAATTGCCAGTAATTGAGCTCCTCAGATAGCAGTGTGACCTCAAGTTTGAAGCCACCACAGATGTGATGGACAGAGCCTTAATATGTGCCCTTTTCTGCCCCTTCTTCCATGTTTTTACCTTACCCAGAGTGCCATGGTTCTGAAGATAGCTTTCCACTCCCTGATACCAGGAAATTGTACTGGCTCAAGCTGAGCTGTGCCTGCCCTCATGCCTCTGGATTTCTTGCTCGAAACAAAATTTTTAAAGAACAGTAAGTTTAAGTTCAGAGTTAAGGAGTAAGAAAAGTTGAAAGTTTGGCTTTTCTGAATAATGTCCCTCCCTGAAATTAAAATATTCGTTTTCTAGTAGAATATTTGACTGGAGAGGAAGGCATGGAGAAATAAAATCTGCTTGGCTTTTATAAATGGGAAGCCAATTCCCAGTTGAACCTCAATAATATCTAATTTTACAACAAGAAAATGTATTTTCTTTCTCAACAATACTTAAAAAAACTTCTAATGTGGGGAGAAAAGCATCATAAGAAGATCCAGTAAAAGGTTTCAGTATCTGTCTATGGAAAACAATTTTTCCCTTTTTTAAACATCCTGTCAAAAGATGGGTTTTCTATTAGTAAATAGTTTGATAAATACACATCTAATTGCAATTCTTCCCACTTGAAGACTTTAAGTTTCTTTTCAAAACTTAGTTAACAAAAAAGTATTTGGGTGCTGGTGGCTATAATCCTAGCTACTCGGGAGGCAGAGATCAGGAGGATTGTGATTCAAAGCCAGCCCAGGCAAATAGTTCACAAGACCCATCTCAAAAAAACCCATCACAAAAAAGGGGCTGGTGGAGTGACTCCAGGTGAAGGCCCTGAGTTCAAAACCCAGTACCACAAGAAAAAGGAGGAAAAAAAGCCTAAAATAATTGAAGCTGAAAATTAGGTCAGCATTTCAGTAGGACATGATTTTGAAAATAAATAATTCCCTCTGTTTCAGTATTGGCTATTTAACTATAGAGTGCTATTTTAAATAAAATTAGGTGAATTAAATAACAGAGATTGTGGAATGTAGGTGCCAGAAGGTGCTTTGTCGTTGATGAAATGGAGTATCTCAAAATTCTACTTACCTTTTTATTGATTTACTTTATGCATTTCTTGTAAGATCTGCGAAACCAAGCCAGCTCTCCTAGTGATCTCATTGAAGCAACACAGGAAATTCCACTTCTTTCCCTCTGAAGTATAATCACTGAATGGGTGAGAAACGGCCTATTCAATTCACAGGCTGCTGCATGCCTGGTACTTCTTACAGCCTCATCTTGTATACAAGATCCCTGCCTGTTAGCTAAAAACAACCACTGCAGTAAAAATTAGTAAGCTTTAGGTGCACTGGCTTTTGACAGTTGAGAAGGCCATATTTTAACTTTTTATGGCTAAAAACCTTTGCAGATAGCCGTGGCATTAGTATATGATTCAAGTGTATGCAAGTCTGCATAACTGTCCTGTAACACCTTTGGGATAGGTGATAGAAATGCTATTTAAGGGGGTAGTTACCATGTGATTTTTTATTAGTTCTTTGGGAATTTGATTTTTTGCTTTACTGGATGGGAAACATTAGAGTACAAAGGAAAACAAAAAGATTGAAAAAAAGATAAACCTGAGATTTCAGCATAAAGCCTTTGTGGTGTAGTGAGAGAAAGATGGTGACTTCAGTAGGATTTCTATGTAGAGGTTTTCATCTCAGTGTTGCATTGTTCTTTCTGCCAGTATTATATATGTATGGTTGGCCCATCCTGTCAAACATGCCAATAGTTTGGAAAGTATTTGTGTAAATCTTGTGTTAACAGGAAAATTCCTTTTTAAGTAGTATCTCTTTGCCTCAGTCTTATGTCTTGATACTCTTGAGAAGATTATAGGTTGTCTTGTAGAAGCCAAGTACAGAGTTGTCAGATCTAATGACGCTTATTGGGGGCAATTCTGTGAATAGCCTTCCAGGAGGTGCAGTTGAAAGGCCTTTCGTGGCTTCAGCCCAGGATGTGGCTTTCAGCTGGCTTGTTCTCCATAAAGTTTTATGTAGACTGTGACACTGTGGATATGTGACTAACTTTGACATGTTCCCTGTGTAGTTAAATCATACTTGCTACTAGACAGCTGCATGGAAAAGCAATTTTTATACTGAAGACACTGCTTGTTTGTACTGTGACATATTATGACTTTGTCATTTATATTCTTTGTAATAGTCTTGATTACTTAGTCTAGGGTATTTATTTTTCTCTTTATTCATGTGTTCTTTGCTTCCTCAAATAGACCTGCAGTAACTGATAAGAGAAATCAATATCGCTTCAGGCAGTACATTGTCTGAATTATAAATCACCTGGTCACAGAATTGTATATAATCCTGGAACCTATGTAATTTCATTTCATTATAAATCTCCATTTTCTTAAAAACCCAATGATAGTGATGACTAAGTAAAAACAAAATGGTGTATTGTTTTTCATATAAGTATTTTCACAAAAATCATTTGCTTAGGCAGTTAAAATATTACTTTGTAAAAAAAAAAATTTCCTCTGTGTTTATTCTCCATCCATTTGTTCATCCCCCACCTCTCCTGCCTGCGCCTTTGTGAAACCCAAACTATGTGCCCTTTAGCTGCTGAAGGACAAGTCAAAGATTCAAGGTCTCCTCTCCACACCTCATGAGATTGTCTGTAAGAGACTCACTGTGCTTACTTCCTAGGTCTTGCTCTATCCTGGCCAGGCTGGAGCAGATGGTAAATAATGCTGCTATTCTTCCAAAACAGTGTGGACTGTCCTGTCCTGTAGGGCTTTTAGAGAATTCCATTCTAACCTTAGCCTCCCCACCACCATAGTGGAAAAGCCCAAAGCATGTAAGGAGATTTCTTTAAACACCCTTGGACATTGAGACAATGGAGATTTGCTTTTTACCTTTCAGAAAATGTTAGTGTGGTAAGAAAAAAGTAATTAACATACCACTAAGTCCCTTCACCAAAATAAAGCTCAGAATTCTTTTCCTATATAGAGAAATATATTAGCTGTGTCTCCATTTTGGTGGAAGTTCTTTGCTAAGCCAGCATGGCAGATTTTGGCCCTCATTTTCTTTTTTTATGAGGGAGTGGTAAATGTAAAATTTCTTATTGATCTTTGCATGAGCTTTCTCTCCCATTTCATTATCTGATATCCAATCAGTAATTTATGGACTTCATAAATAATCTAAATGGAATTTTGGTTTGTAGACATCTGATGAAGCATGTTACTTTAAGCATTATTCTTTGGAAAGTCTTATGCTATCAGAAATCATTGTTTTATTGTCACTGGTAAAGTCTTTTCCTAAATTTACAATACTTGATAAAGACCATAGAATAGGCCAAGAGAATATTTGTGTCACAACGCAGTTTGTGAACAAAACTTGTGA